CAACCCTGGCCATTCTGTGATTCTGTGGTTCTATAATCTGTAAAGCAATTAATCTCACCAGAAAGTAAACACCTGCAGTTCCATTTTGCTCAGTTTAGCTCTGTGAATATTTCAAAATCGTTACAGATTATCTTTAATAACAGGATGCTTATCTCTCTTATCAGAGCAATATTTTGCTTTCATTATTTTACGAGAATACTTCAGCTTATACAAACTGTTCTTAACAAATGTGCTAATGGTTGGGTTGCCTATGGAAACGTGTTCCTTCACTGAGCTGTATACAAAAAGAGTTGTTCAGAGGATATATATATATATATTGTGTATTTATACATGTATATACAGGGAGTGCTCTGAGAAGAAGGATGTGGATGCTAGAAAGGAATAGAAGTATTAGCATTTATTCCCGAATTGTGTGATTAATATTGTTTAGAGGGATGAATGAACCTTTAAAGACTGCCATTTGAATCTGTTTGTTTTTGAAGTTCAAAAGCATAAAATCTTTAAATGCCTTTTGAAATTCCAATTAAGAGTCAGTCAAAACCCATCACTTAAAGAATACTTTTTGTTTTACAAATTAGCAATTAAAAAGTGACAAATATCTTCAGTGCTTAAATACTCTCCTGCCATCCCCATTATGTTCAAATTATGCTTTTTTGGGGGCATAAGAGCATGTTCCCCAGTATTTCCCTTCTTTGTCTTTCCCTTAGGAGTGCCGCTTGCTATCTAACACTAAAGCTGCGCTCACTTAACCAGTACTGAGCATTATGCAAAATATTTAATGCACAGTTTAAAATCAAATTCATTTTTGCTGGTTTCGTGTTATAGTATGGGTGGCTGATTTCCCTTTTATGTTCTTTTCTCAGCTGCTTTTTACTGTTTTTTCCCTCTGAGTTTTATCTAATTTTTTGGAACATCTTCCATTTTCTTACTGGAATAGTAGAAATTAGAAGAAGTAAACTTCTTTGTAATGGTTTTAAGTTGAAGGAGGGAAGATTTCAGTTGATGTCAGGGAAGGTCATTGCTATGAGAGTGGTGAGGTGCTGGAACAGCTGCCCAGAGAGACTGTGGATGCCCCGTCCATCCCTGGAGGTGTTCAAGGCCAGGTTGGATGGGGCCCTGGGCAGCCTGGGCTGGTATGAAATGTGGAGGTTGGTGGCCCTGCATGTGGCAGGGGGTTGGAGCTTCGTGATCCTTGAGGTCCCTTCCAACCCTGGCCATTCTGTGATTCTGTGATTTGTACTACAGGATTACGTGACGTCTTTAACTGAGATTATTTCCCAATTTTAGTACTCTGTGGCTTCGGGCAATCAGTGCTCTGAAGAAGGGCACTGAGGGGGGTTTTATTCTTAATATTCCTCTTCTTGTGACAATTTCTCTGTAGAACATGGCCCCACTTTAGCAGAATAACAAACATCAGCTGCTGGATGTATTAATACCACGGAAAGCAATTGAGTGTTGTATTGTTGTAAATTATGTCCCTTTACCAGCAGGTTGTTTTCTTGTGACAATGACTTCAATTTTATCTGTTCTCGTGGATGTGAGGATTTATTGTTTGCACAAGGTGTCAGCGTACTTGAGAAATCATAAGAATCATTCACAAAAAGAATAAAATGTCTGTTTCTGGGAGGATGGGGAACACAATGATTTCATGTATAAACTGGTTACAGAGAACAAACAGTGAAAGAAACCATGATGAAGATATAGGTAATAAGTTCAAGTGGGAGAGGACAATTGGTGAGAGAACCCTAAACAATAATTATTGATCAAGGAAAGTCATCAAACACTGTGGTTAATTATCAGTATTTCCAGACATCTTGAAATAGGAAAGTGACATTTCTACTCTGTATTTGAAGTTGGACCCATGTTTGAACTCAAACCTGAATTTTGGTTGCATCCTCTTCTTTGAGTTACACCTTTGCACTCAGGTGTGATCCTAGGAATATATTTGGGGAAAATGTGGGATCCATACTATTCCATTCCATAGATAAAATAGCTCGCATACCACCCCATCAGTTGTCTTGTTGTCTTTGTCCTACCCGTGTTAGCTTGATAGATTGGCTACAGAGTCCTTACAAGGGTTTCCGTGTTACTTGCTGCAAAAGTAGCTGGGATGTCAGGCAGCTGGAGATCAGACTTCCCTGAAACAGTAAAGATGCACAGCACTGAATTACTAGTGTTGGCCTGAACTTTATTTTCTGTCTCAGGTGCTTTGGTTACAGATCCATAACTAGGTTGTCATGGTGAGGCTGCCCCTCCAGCCTTCTGAGCATCACGTCCATGATAGATACTATATCTGCAGTGGAATGAATTACTCAAAAAATCATCAAAGAATCATCAGTATAAGATCAAAGATATGTCTCGGATGCCAAAAAAGAAACATACAGATTTTCTGATTTCATGATTGCCCCCAATACATTTCCTTCTCCACAAAGCAAAGCCGACATGTCCAGGCCCCAGTAAGATAATGCATGTCCAAGGCTCCTATGAGAATGGGGTCATGTGCAGTACTACATTTTAGAGATTTCTGCAACAGCTATGCATATTCAGGTTGGACTTGATGATCTTGTGGATGCCCCATCCTTGGAAGCATTCAAAGCCAGGCTGGATGTGGCTCTGGGCAGCCTGGTCTGCTGGTTGGCAGCCCTGCCTGTGGCAGGGGGGTTGAAACTAGATGATCATTATTGTTCTTTTCAACTCAGGCCATTCTACGATTCTGTATGATCTTGAAGGTGTTTTCCAATCCAGATGTTTCTATGATTTCGAGGTTTTTGTGGGCTAGGACTACATTAGGTGACTGAAATTGGTGGGGTTTGGTCTACTGGTCATGGGAAGGAAGAGTGGCTGTGGGTTTTTTTGACAGAGAAAGTCATGAGATACAGAGAATCCTTTTCTTCTTTAATAATGATTTTTTTATTTTTTTCCCCAAGACAATGGACCTTATCAGCTTTACTGGCTTTATGTAGCTCTCAGACACATAACTGTCAGTCAGAGAACCTTGGGCAGAATTTTGTGTCAGGCTTTTTCTCACTAATATTTTGTACTCTTGATCCGTTGTCTAGAGACTACTTGCCTGTAAACCTCCAGTGTCACCAAAGTGTGATCCAATCAGTTCCACCAGGGGCATCTCGTGTGCACTGAAAACTGAGGAGATATTTGGCACTCCACCTGCCTAGGGTCCAGGCAACATCATCCTCCTCTTAGGAAGCACGTGTAGTGAACATAGGAACGTCCATCTGTGTAGACTGTAGCATCAGTCTAATTCTGAATGCTTTTAAAATGTCCTTGTGGATAAAGCAGTGTGAAGAAAGAGTCAAGTGGTATGTACAACTCTAGCATTGGATGTGAGGAATAAAGAACTGCAGACAGTAAGAATTTTCGAATGTTCTGTCTGCAAAATCTGGGGACAACTTCAAGAGAGATCCTTCAGTACTTTCTCACCAGCCTACTTTAATCATAAAATCACTCAGGTTGGAAAAGACCTTCAAGATCATCGATTCCAACCATGACCTCACCGTACCACCCTAACTCTAACATCCCTAGCTGAAGAACCCAAATTTAATAGCTATAGCTGTCTCTGTAGTCCACGGAAAATCAATTAGATGAGTAACTGTTCATCTTCTTTGAACTGAATGGTACTCAGGAGATGCCATTCTCTGTCCAAGGTCTCGAGGAGCAGGCTAGGCTCCCAGTTGGTGCGACTCACTTGAGCACCTGAAACCTTCTGAGTCATCACTTCTGTATTTCTGTTTGTTACAATAGGCGTTGGTCAAAGTAAGTCTGAAGCTAATCTCTGAGTTTCAAAGAAAGAATATGCCTTTGTGAGTGATCGTAATTGTTCTAGTTGAACTTTGAAGGAACATCTCTGTAATTTCTCTACCTGTCGTATCTGTATTGTTATCAATAGAAAACTCATAATGGGTCATTGATTTTTAAGTGTAATGAGTGGTTAGTTGATTTTTTACTAGCTTTTATGTTTTAGAACGTATGTTATCATTGAAAGAGAAAGCACATTACCCATAATCAGGGATGAGTTAAATAATCCTAGAATCATACAATCAATAAGATTGGAAAAGACCTCTGAGAACCCCAAACCCAGCCCCAGCCCACCCCACCACGTCCACTGTATCCCTCAGTGCTGCATCCCCATTAGGTTCTGGAACACCTCCCAGCCACCCTGGAACATCCCCCACCACCTCCCTGCATCAATGCTCTTTCTGCGAGGAAATTCTTCCTAATATCCAACCTGAGTTACTGCAGTGTACATGACATGTTTCAGCTTCATAAAGTCCTTCCAATCATAGCTAACATCTCTGAACTATTCAAACCATGAGAGAATTGTGAATGTTAGGCTTGTTTGTTCCTTCCCCTTGGTTTTCTCACCATATGCTTGATTCCTGTTACCTGGAGACTTTTGCTAATTTACACCTGTTGACAATGGCCTTTTGATAACTGGCCATGTGGGTGAACGAATTCTGAAATTTTGTCTGAACATCAAATAAGTGCATGCATAACTTGTTAAATCAAAGCATTTTTCTTCCTGTATAGCGTATAATTTAATCCATTATTATTGCCATCTTTAAAGACTGCATATGCCTGAAAACAGAAAATTAAATAACTGTTTGCCATTAATACAAATTATTGTGTTTTGACAGCTTGCTAATCAACTGGAGTAAAAATGGTGCTGTACAAACAGTGCGATTGCATTTTAAGTAATTTTTTGTTTGCATGAAAATTCTCCTTGTTTGAGCCTTTGAACCCTTACAGGACTTGTACTCTTGTCACGTGTTAACATTCATTCAGAAGCATTATAAGATAAACTTATGTTTGCGTTGTGCACTGATGCAGAATGGATTTATCAGGGTAATTACTTCACATGTAGTCTTGGGAAGCACTTGGCCTTCACAAACTGGCTATAGGAGCTGTGTCAATGAATGTGCAAATGAATGATTCAGCATTGAGCAGATTTTGACATATTGTAATGTACTTCATCCAATATTCAGGTATGGGCTGCTTCTGGGGAGCTGAGAGGAAGTTTTGGAGACAGAAAGGAGTCTATTCCACTCACGTGGGTTACGCAGGAGGGTATACTCCAAATCCTACCTACAAAGAAGTCTGTTCAGGTAAGCTTGTCTCTTTGATTTTTAAGAATTGTGAGATGGTCAGGTGCTGGAATGGGCTGCCCAGGAAGATGTTGGAGTCACCGACCCTGGAGGTGTTCAAGGAATTTTTGGACATTGTGTTGAGGGACATGGTTTAGTGAGAACTGTTGGTGATCAGTGGATGGTTGGACTGGATGATCTTGTTGTTCCTTTCCAACCTTGGTGATTCTGTGATTGTATGAATCTGTGACAATAAAGAGTGAAGGACTGACTGCAGCAACTGAAGAGCCATTTACAGAACACTGCTACCTACCTTGTGTCCTGAACTGCAGGGACATCTATGGTATGCCCATCCCATTGTCATTTCCTACCATTCGGTAAGGTAGAAATACTTTGAGAAAAAAGGGAAAAAAAGGTACAAGTTTTAGGTTTTCTTCGTTGCTTATTTTGTTTTAATGCATTTTCTCAGGAAGTGGATTCTACTGCAACTTATGCAAATGTGTCTTTTAAAAAAAGTGTGAATTTTGACTTAAATTTTATCCATATTTGAGTATAGACAGAAACCAAAAAGTGAGCGTTTTTCTCTTTTCTTTCTATATAACCTCCTGGAAAAGTCTAGGTTTCTCATTTGTGTTATTATTAAAAATCTGTTAAATTTGTATGTAGTTGATTGCACAGCATCCTATCATTTCCGAATCAAATCCTTGCCTTTATTTTTCATTGCACTCCATACTAATCCTTCTACAACACTGATAACCTACTGCAGTTTCTTTCTGTGATCCAAAACATAGAAGCACTGGCACCCAACTGCCTCATGTTGCTGTTGAAGTAAATTCTTGCTTTCCTATACTCTGTGATGGAGAACAACTTGGAGGTTTGTTTTTGCTTTATTTTCTTGATAGCCTTTTTTATGCCAAATGCTGAAGTTGATATACTTACATACTAACAATCTATTGTGTAGGGTTGATGGAGTGTAAAGAACTCAGTGATACGAACAAATAATGGAGCTCTAGCAGCCATGGAGAAGTGCTGCGAGGCACTCAGAACAGGAGAAACTTTATAGAAAAAGTACAAAAATATGTGAAAAAAGAGGTTTTAACGTGGTATTTTATAGACAGCACAGAGCTCGTAAGAAATTGTCTTGTAAGTGCTAAGGAAAACATACAGATTAGGGAGAATTTCTGCTGGTAACTCAGAGTGGTATGTAGAAATGTAAAAATGTTTAGAACAAAAAGAAGGATGCTATGCTTTTGTATTAATTAATGCAGAGAGACCCAGAATTCCTGCAAAACAGCAAAGGGAAATGCCACCAATGGAGGGATCAGTGATGCCTGTCCTACTATCTATACAATCTGTTGCTTCCTAATGCTTTCACTTCCTAATATTCCCATGCTATCTACTTTGATCATTTATCTTCATTACCTGTGAATTTATAAGCATATATGGCCTGCTCTAGGGAGCCTGCTTTGCAGGAGGGCTGGACTCAATGATCTCTAGAAGTCCCTTCCATCCCCTGCAATTCTGTAGGCCTTTTTTTGGCCACTCTCTTCAATGACCTGGACATTAATTAGATCGTTTGCATAGAATGGGGATATACAGAGTAGGGATGTGCAGAATAGTTTCTCTTTCCCAATGTACTCATCTTTCCAATACACCCAGGTTTGTCCTGTTGGACTGTTGAGTCTTTCTCCAAAACCCTGAGTGCTGGCTGTTGGCCAAGGGGGGATGTGAGCACAGAACAAGGTGTAGTCAGGGGAGCAGAAAAAAATACCATGTCTTTTAGTCCTACACAATATATGTTTTTTTTTTTATATTTTGGGATGTGTCCACAGTATTGCGTGCTTTGCATTTGATTTGGATACGTTGAAAGCTCTCTGATGCTACTTTATTTGTGTTATTTCATCAGCAGTGAACAAAAATGGTAATTTAACAATAAGAATCCAGGAATAAAGAAATGAAAAAAAAAAAAAATCTGCAAAGTCTATTTTCTTGTGCTTGTTTTTATCCACATTCACATGGTGGATGTTTGCATGCCTCCAGGTACTGGACACTGGTGGAGTTTTTCCTCAGAGAGATCCATAAGGATAAGCACATACTTCACAGCCTTGTCTCTGTGAACATAAATGGGATGCCTATGTGCTGCATATTTCTGTTCTTAGTAGTAGTGCAGCTGAGCTGAACTGGAGAAAGTACTGATTCCTGCATGCTAATTTTTTTCTTCCTACTTATCTTCTTCTAGCTCCATGTTATTCTGATTTTATTCTGATTTCTTTTTTTTCCCTGGCAGATTTTGTTTCATCTTTGAACATACCTTTTGGAAGTCTCTGTAGAGAGCTCTCACCAGCCCCCCTAAGATATTGCCATCTGGCTGCTTCTAGTTGCCATAGTTTTCATTGGGGAGAGCAACTTATGAAGCAGTAGACTTCAGTTGCACACAGTGATTGCCACTTTCCTCTTCATCTGTTCTGACAAGGTCATATCCATGGCAAACACTTAACAGTTGTGGCCTCTAAATCCAACTCTAGAAAGCACATTAATGCCACTAAAAGTTTTCTGCTTGGCAAGTATTTGAGCTTTGCATTCAACCCATGCAGGCTGGAGAATCTGTGCAGGAAAGTTATTTTAATCCAACACCTTCCTGGCACTCTGCTCTGAAGGAATACAAGCAATAATTCTTTGGATTGAGCATGTAGCCCTTGTTCCAAAAACAGATCATCAGTGAGACCCGAGGCAAAATGGTGTGGATTTACTGTTATGCCCAAGCTAAGGGCTCTCCAAGCATATCAACCAATGGTTATTTTTTGATTTGATTCCCTAAATGTAGGATTTAGTGCCATTTGAGATGTGTGAGATTATCACACCTGCCATGCTGTGGTCACATCTGACAGCTTTTTGTGATTGCCCTTGGACTTCTTCAAAGTAATTGGATGCCTGTTGTGTGAGCAGCTAATTGATACAGAATCACAGAATCATAGAATGGCCTGGGTTGCAAAGGACCATAATGATCATCTAGTTTCTGTGATGTGTGCGTGTACGTTTACTGTTCATCCTTCTGTCTGGAGCTAAGAGTATTGCCATACATTGTCCGTGTATGGACGTATGGAGGCAGGGCACTGTGTGCCTGCTGAGATTTTCCAATCTCTTGTTCTTGGATGCATGAAGTTCCAGTCCTTGATCTTGTATCTGATCCAAGCACGTTACATATGTATTTGGAACACAAAGGAAAAAGTTCCTGCTTTCTGTCTTACCAAGAGGGGTAGGAATATTTCCTACATCCTTTGGCTCATAGAGCCTTTGGAAGGTTTCTGATTTCTTGGTAATTGAGGATGTTCCTTAATAATCCTAACAAACATCTTGCTTGAAGTCCTTTGTGGAGAACACTACCTTAAATGCAATTGATCTGAAAATCTGTAGTAACATGGCACTAATATTTGCATTTAAATGCCTGTGGGTTTAGGAGTTACTGAGATGGAGACCCTTGAGTGTATTGATTGTGATTTGATACGCTGCTTCACGTTCACACTAGGTCTGTTAGTCACAAGTAAGTATCTTTTCATCTTCTTTCAAGTATGTAAGAGCAAACCCCTATCTTCATTGACCTTGAAGAGCAGCCAAATCTAATTCTGTTGGGGAGGTAGGAGTGTCATGGTTCAGCTCAGTGTCATAAAATCATAGAATCATAGAATCACAAGGTTGTACACAACCTGCAAGATCATCTGGTCCAACCATCCTCCCATTCCCATTGCTACCACAAGCTACTAAACCATATCTCGTAGCTCCTCATCCAGACAAAATCCATTCTGTTCAGGTCATTCAGTCAGTGTCATTCTGTCCAGGTGCCAGGTAGATCACTTGAAGATTCTCCAATCAGATGGTGGAGCATCGCCTTGTTAAATTGAAGTCTAAGAGATAATTGAGTTATTTTGTAGCTTATAAACACAGTGCTGAAAAGTTATTTTTACGTTGTATGGTGACAACCATGCAGATGAAAATCTGATAGGGCATTCTGGACTGGGTGAAGGGTTTTGAGCTATATTTGGTGCATTAGGCTAATACGTGAATACACCGATTTTGGCCAGCGTTAGGCAGCACAGGATGTTCATTCTCTATGAAAAGTATTTTTCTACTTTGCTTACAGATGTTCAGAGCAGTTCTGTGTTTATCTGTATATTCATAAGCTTTTTGAAATCTGCATAGCTCAAGTGGCTCTGAAATCAGAAGGGAAAAACTCGACTGTTGTTATTCATAAACTGGTGATGTACAATTACCATATAAAATCAGAAGCTAATGATGATTTTCTTAAAAACAGAACAGTTTACAGTGTTATGGTCCAGCCTGTTAACATGTAAGCAGGTCATTTTATTTTGTTTTGCTTTTTTCCCCTGTGTTTGTCTTCAGTGACTATAATAGAAGAAAAATAGATGAATGTGCCTGTTTATTATCCTTTATTTGTTACAGGGCTTAGTGAACATAACAGTATATTTGTTTAGTTAAACCCATTTATAATCTTGTCAATTCTCAATAACTTTCTGAAGCATATTCTCTTGTATACGGATCACAGGTCTTAATAATTAACAATGCAATATTAAAGTGCGCCATGTGGAATTAGTTCCTCTTTTGAGTTACATCAAATACTTGATGTGAAGTTGTTTTACATTTTGTACGCAGCAAGCCCACATTTATTTATTTATTTTTTCCCTGATGGATAAGATTGCCTTTTGCATACCAATTAGTCTTTTGACTGACCCTGGTAAGTAGGAGTTTCCATTCTCTTTAAGACATTTGGGCTTCCAGAGGTCACCTGGAAGACTTCTGAATAGTTAATGGAAAAGAGTGGAGAAAGGCAGAGCTAATTTCTTGCTCTGTTACCTCCCACCCCCTTGGTCAGCTGTTGATTTACAGAATTACTTCTCTCTCTCCTTCGTCTGAGGTCTACATGAGAGAGGGCAAGACCAGCACTAGGATTCATGGTAGTTGATAGTTGGCATGTCTTTGCTTTAAGAAAGAAAATGCATGCAGAG